ACACACACACAGACCGTGACGGCACACACACACAGACCGTGACGGCACACACACACAGACCGTGACGGCACACACACACAGACCGTGACGGCACACACACACAGACCGTGACAGCACACACAGACCGTGTGACAGCACACACAGACCGTGACGGCACACACAGACCGTGACGGCACACACAGACCGTGTGACGGCACACACAGACCGTGACAGTACACACAGACCGTGACAGCACACACAGACCGTGACAGCACACACAGGACCGTGTGACAGCACACACAGGACCGTGTGACAGCACACACAGGACCGTGACAGCACACACAGGACTGTGACAGCACACACAGACCGTGACAGCACACACAGACTGTGACAGCACACACAGGACCTACATGGGTTCAAACCAGACCAAGTCCTAGCTGAGGAGGGAACTGGACATAGAGTCCCACCCCCAGCCATGAAGCTGTTTGCAACTGATGCCTGCTGGCAAAGAGAAAAGAATTTTCTCCAATGGAGGTAATGGTATGTCAGCCACACCGCAGGGCCCATGCTCAGGAACAGCGGGCCAACACAGAACAGACTCCAGGCCTGGTTTTGCTGGTTTTTTGGGCTTACTGACTTTCTTGTTTTGAGAGAACATGCTGTAGGGTGAGTAGGGAGGTGAGGAAGCTCTGGGAAGAGTTGGGGGAGGGGAAAGAATACGATCAAAACATTCTGTATGAAAAAATTATCAAATAGAAAAGAAACAAATGTACTTCTGGCAGATGCTTCACAACAGACTGACTTCTCATTAGCTATCGCTAAGAAGTCTCTCTGAAGTATTGCCACAGTGTCCCGGAAGTCCACAGCAGGAGAAGAGCTCACTGTGGAGCCAGTTTTTAAGTGAGCAGGGGACCAGCGAAGCCAATACTGACAGCAATGGTGGCTGCTGCAGCCCCAGACAGAACAATAACTAGCCTGAGGCAGGGTCTCTTGGCAGTGGCCTTATCAGAGGAGCAGCAGGTGGCAATTGTGAGGTGTCAGCCCACCAGGAGGTGAATCCCTGATGGATGAATCTCAGATAGGCAAGGCCCCAAGACCACAGACTCCAGAATATCTTTTGCTTCTGCTGTGCCTTTACATGTTTGCTGCTGCCATCTTTCTCTGGTATCTGGCATGATGTGAATGGGTGTGGGGAGATCCCCACTGCCTGTGATGTAGTGTGTTTATCTCATGGAAACACCCCATTCTACTGGGCATTTTTTACCTGTGGATTATTATGAAGATGATTTCTTCTTAAACTGTACTGTCTAATTGATAATAATAACATTAGTTCAAATAGAATTTTGATGATAAAAAAATAAAACAAGGAAGTGTCACACAGCTAGAACACATGAGTTTCCTCTATTAAGGCTTAGATTAATGATTAAGAATAACAATTGGGTCCCAGTAGCCCAGCTAGTTTAAATTCTTCTAATCTTAATGTTGGGAGTTATGTACACAGGTTTCAGAGTGCATCAAAGCTGAAACAAAGCTTTGAAAATAAAGTTAGACTAAGATGTTTGTGTTAAATAGCTTTGAGGTTAAAAAACCCAAGAAGATAATCTAAAGTTTTAGAAAGGCATGTAGTTGAATGGGAAACTCATTAAAGTCAGGGAACAAGAACAAAGCAGCCCAGTTATCATCGGCTGACGTGCCTTTCTTGCTAGGATTGGTTGATGACCAAAGGTGATGACTAATTCCTTGTACCCATTTCTGCCCTCAATCTCCTGATATAAGAAACTATTGAGTGGGTATGCACCCCAAAGATCTAAAGTAGAGCTGACTGATTCTTTTTCATATATAAAAGTTTAGGTTTGTGATTCCTTTAAGGTTCCTTATAAGATTACCTTTCAAGATAAATAATAAAGTGATTGGTCCCTTTCTTTGTAACTGCAAAAATGCAGCCCGCCAGTAAAAGAATATCTTGCTTGCTTACACACGGTTAATCTACAACAAATTGCTTGGGTATGAATGTAGGTTGGTTCTCAGGATAATTTGTTTTTCCATCTGTAATACATAAAATGTTTAATCATGTAAGGGATATGGAAAACACTTTTTTTTTTTTTTTACTTGTATTCATTGTAATCATTCACTTGAAAAACAGAATGTAATCACATGGTAATTTTTATATTGCCTGAAAGATTTTGCTGGGGTATATAAGCTGTAAGGGAAAGAATAAAGATAGAGTTAAAATTTTTTAAAAGGAAAAGATCAAGAATGAGAGTTAGAAGGAAAACATCAGGAATGAGAGTTAGAAGGAAAAGATAAAGAATGAGAGAATTAGGAGGAAAACATTAAGAGAGTTAGAAGGAGTTAGAAGGAGAATATCAAGAATGAGAGAAGGAAATCACCAGGAAAATAAAGAATAGAGAATGCAAAAAAAGAATAAAGAAAAGGTCTGAAGGAAACCATCAAGAGAGTGTGTGAGTGTCTTTTCCCTAATCCCCTCAGATAAAGGAGTCATAGTACGAGCTGCCGACTCCATGGATTCCCTTTGAGTCTTGTACTGCTAGAGGCTGGTCCCCCAGGCAGCGAAAGTCTCTGTGAAATCCTGATTCTGGGACCACGAACCAAAAGATACCAAAACATACACGGAAGAA